AATATTCAATACATAATACATAAAATAGTACATAATAATCTATACACAATTATCTAGCTTAGTACGCTAGACTCAACCGTTGTACCCCTTCTTGGCTTGGTGACGCACACACCCCTATCCTGTGTATACACGTTCTTTAGTTCCCATCAGATCGTACAGTTATTAATGTTATTTATGACTCCCATCGTTAACTTTGTTTTTTAATTATTATTATTTTAGTTTTAAAAATTTGTTGTTGAATACTGCCAAATAAAACTAACCTCCTGTAATTTACCAAGCATATTAATGATCAAATTTACTTAAAATAAGTAAAAAACCTGGGTGTCCCATAAAGTAGAAAAGTTCCCTTATTTTATTTTTATCTGTATAAAATGTAAATAAATCAATAAATCAATAAATTTTGATTCGACTTAAATTTTATTTTTTAATTATACCTATAAGATGTTTATCCAAAATAAAAATCAGTAATTAGAAGCTTTTAATATTTAATATAAAATAATGCATTAACTATAATATCTAAATTCATGAAATTTTAATATTATCAACTTGTTTGAATATTTACTGTATTTATAAATTAAATGATTAATAGTACTTTAGCCATTATCTTTACTTTAGACAACATATTATTAGTAAATTTTAATAGTATAGTAAGTATAACAAGAAATTGAAAATTGAATCAAGGCCACATCTAGATTTTTCGTATATCTAAAATGTTTTAGTTGTCAATTACATCTTATCATAACGGTTGAATAGATTTTTTGGATACGTTTTAAAATATTTTTTGAGGAACTAATAGACATGGAACATAATAAATTGAATGAAAATATTAAATTTACGTAAATAATGTATAAATCGAATACCTACTGACGTGGGAGGACCTATATTTAACTTATTAATAATATTCAGCGATGTAAATTTGATTAAATATGCTTGACAATGAATAGTAACATTATAAATACTCAGAAACTCATTTTTAAATTATTATAAATATATACTTACTTGACTGATATTAAGTTTTCATTTAAAACAGTATAAAACAAAATAATATTAAATTAGAGATTTAATATGTCTTATATTTTGATTTTTGAAAGATTTAATATTTTAATTAATCATATTTTGTCACCAAGAAATAACTCATCATTTATTAGTAGGGGTGGGGACTAAATAAAAACTATAAATTTATTTATTTTTAAATAAAGTGTTTTAAATTTAATTTTTACAAAAAAAAAACTGTACTTAGTCTTAAAATTATATTAACTTTATTAACACCAGATGAAAACATATACGATACTAACAGACAAATTGACATTAACTGATCGCATTCAGCGTATTCCTTATCGACTGACTGTTTTTCATAACACACACATAATTGGGGAAACACACGGTAGATTGATTATTTAATTATTTATATTTAATCATTTTAATCTGTTTTTTTCAATTTCTAGAAAATTAATATTACGTATTAGTAAAATACATAAAAAATATTATTCTCTATTTCACATAATGTTTTAAATTTTTTTTTTTTAATAAAATATGCGGAATATGTACTTAAAATACAAATATAATAAAATATACACATATAGAAGGAAAAAAAGAGTTTAATATGTAAAATATGCAAAATAAAAATTATTACTTTAAACTTCTAGTAGGTACTAAGAAACAAATTCCTATATTACTTAGCTAAATTTTGAATGATTATTGAAAAACATGCAAAATCTTATAAGTCCCTCATTAGATACTCACTACTCATTAGATTTATTTAAAAATTAATAGATTTTTTGATATGTTGTTTATTTTTTTATTTACTTTTATTAAGTTATTGTTTTGATAAAATGTAAATGTTCTATAATAAAATAGATAATATATTTTTATTTTATTTTCGATGTGTATATTTTACTTGTGGAGCCAACAGCTAGTCCGGAACGACACATGCAATGAAAATATTTAAATATTAATAAAAGATATAGATAATATATAGGTTATATCGTTAAGAGGACGTCGTACCCGCATATGTTGTCTCCGTCTTACAAATGCGTAACATGGCAAATAGTACTCTCAGAAGATCACGTTTAGCTCCTTCAGCTTGGAAATTAGAATGAATTGACCTCTTTTGAAATTTAAAAGTGAGATTATTATCTAGGGCATCTCATAGGCTTTTTATTATATTTTAATTTTAAAGCAAGTTATGAGTATTTTAAAATTGTAAATTGCTTGCACGTCTTAAAACACACATAACTCGCTTTAAAATTAAAATATAATAAAAAGCCTATGAGATGCCCTAGATAATAATCTCACTTTTAAATTTCAAAAGAAGTCAATTCATTCTAATTTTCAAGCTGAAGGAGCTAAACGTGATCTTCTGAGAGTACTATTTGCCATGTTACGCATTTGTAAGACGGAGACAACATATACGGGTACGACGTCCTCTTAATATTATATAGATATGATGTTCATGTTGTAACAGTTATAATATTTTAATTATTTAAACATTTAAATATTTCTTGAATGATAAACTATCATAACAAAACAGATTTTAATTTTGTTTTTTCATAAATGTGTAAATTAAATAGGATTTGGATTTAAATATATAAAAAAAAAAACTCTTAAGATTTTTAAGTTGGTAGGTAACAAAAAAAATTATTCTCGTAATTTATTGCTGTAATCGTATTATAATACGTTTCTCAATCCTGGTGAAAAGTAATAAAACATCGAATATTTACCCTATCTATATTTTTTAAAAAGCATATATTTTTTACGCCAAAAAAATAGCAATCTAGGGTTTTGACAATATAAAATATGGCAAGGAATGTATTTTCGATGAAAAATTGTCAGGTTTTTAAAAGTGCAAAGAAATATCCGGTTTTGAATAGTTAATTTAGGCAAATGCTTCAGGTTTTCTCGTTAAAAACGATTTATAGGGGTCGCCGTGTTTTTTAGTGTAACACGAGATGTTAACGAAGAGCAAATGATTTATTGAAGAAGGTATGTTATTTTTTAGACATGATTGCATTATTCAATTATTAAAGTCATATACCTAGTGAATTTTGTCGTTTTAACGTATTGCAAAAACAACCAAACCATTAAATTAAGTTTAATATTTTTTTTTCATAAAGATAGATACGTTGTTAAATATAATTAATAAAAGTGAAACCAAGAAATATTAAAGTGCTGTATAATAAGTTAAACATTATTGATATTTATGAATTTCTATGATATTAACACCGATAATTTTATTATGCACAATTTAACAAATAATCGCCTACCAAACTATAATACTACACAATATTTTATATATTATGTTATATTTTACGTAAGACCATCTTCCAATATACAATCTACAAAAAAATAAATAAATATATATATATATAGTATTTAAAAATGTAATCTAAAAGTTTGAATGATATTTAGATTAAATTAGATTATTATTATTTTAAACCAATTCACTTTAAAATATTACATATTATATAAGAAAAGGATTGTCTCCAAAAGTCCAAAAATGTAAGCTTGTGGAGGAGACAAGAAATTATATCATTCCTTGTCTTAAAACTACACATTGTCGAGAAAAATGTTTAGAATACAATAAAGTAAACAAATAAAACAACAACGAATAATCAAAAATATTAATTGCAATATTATGTACATAAAATTTAAAGTATTTTTTAAAATTATAAGTCTTATATTGTAGACAATATATTTTTTATATGATCTATTAAAATTTTGAAAACTACTAACATTATTATTAATAGAATTATAAAGGTTTAAGGCAATATTATAGAGACTAATTTTACAATTTCTCTGTTACATTCAAAAATATTATTTTACATTTTTATTAATTTAGTGTGTTTTATAATAAATAACTATGACTTATGATTAAAACCTAAAACTTCATTATTAGACTAATACAAATAATAAACTATTTCTTTTGTATAGAGTTGCTTAAGATGTAGTGTGTAAGTATATCAGTATATGTCATATCATATGGTTTTTTGAAAATTATCTTAAGTAAAGAATTAATCATAGATGAAATGTTTTTTTAAATGCATATCATAAGCTCTTGCTCAAATAGATATTTCATAAAAGAAAAATGATTGAGCAAGGTTATAATAAATCATTCATATAGTGTTAGAGTGATGTTAGACTATAAAATATTTTTTGAAGTTTTGAATTTATAAAATAAGCTTCAAGTTCTAAATTTTCAACAATAGCTCTCATGTAAAAATCTTAAAAGCTTTTCGATTTTTATACCAAGGTATTTTATGGAGTTAATGATTATATATGATTACAATTACAATTAAAATTATAGTAATTTCTAGATGTTTTCTAATTTTAATTTAAAGATAAGAATTTAAATCATGTGCTTTGATGACATCATTTCTTTGAAATTTTTTCATTTTGCAAATTGGGTAGAGATAAAATATATTTTATGATAATTAATTTCAAAGAAATTGAAATTATACCATTTTATAAAAATTGGCATAGTTTGGATCAATTTAGTAATTCATCCTGTTTATTTAGATCATTATATAATATTTAATCAGCAAAAAAATTAAACCATTATATTTTACTTTGAATAAATTGCTTAAATATTTAATGAAAATGAATGGACCAAGAACGGTTTCTTGTGAAATAATATATTTTAATATGTGATAATTGCTATGCACATTATTTATTTTAACTCATTAATTGGGATTAGTTAAAATAATTTTTGATAAAATTATTTGTAACTCTACGAATCTCATCTAATTATTTTAATGGCAAATTATGTTCTACCAAATGAATTACTTTTTTTAAGGTTAAGAAATATTCCAAACTAAATCACTTTTATATAGCTAACCTTTATTATTTTTTAAAACCAAATCTTTTTTTCAGAGAAAATACGAGATTTTTTAAAACATTTGTAAAACAGTATTTTTTAAACATTTCTTTAGATAATGTAAATGTAAAAGATATCAGACGATAATTGCATATATATATATATATTTATTTTCTTGTTTGAACAGTGGAATAATAACAGTTTCTTTAAACACGCTTGGAAAATTTCCGGAAGTAATTGACGAGAAGTGAGTGACCCATTTTCAATGTTATATTTATATATAGATAGATGAATTAATTTAATATTTTTAAACTAATTTATTATTTTACGAAAATTGTATTGATAGTAACATTTACATGACATGAATCAAATACATCCGACCCGTTTTCTTCTTTTCATATTTGTTTTAGTTGATTAGAATTCACAATGTTTTACATTTTTATTTTCAGTAGTATATTTGCAATTATTGTATTTAATACTAGAATCATGCTGTAGTAGTGTAGTGGTCAGTTATAGTATTATATATATATATCTTGATATCTTTTTTTTACATTATCATACCCATATCTATTTTTAAGAAAATTATCATCCGAGTAAGATAATAAATAAGTTGTTATATATGGTATTTGATTGTATTATTAAATATTCATGAATAATTTAAAACCATAATACATAATTATACATTATACATATAACTTAATATATTTAGATATTTAATAGTATCTACGTGTAAATAATTTGTAAATCAATATTTATGTCATCATAAAAATAAGTGGACACTAAACTAGTTAAAATAATGATCGATTTTTCAATATGATGTTGATTAAAACCTTTGAAGTTAATTTTATAATTTTGAATTATATATATTACAATTATTTATGGTTTTAATATAAATTTGAACTTTTAAATTTTAGCAAATACAAAAGATCTTTATCAGACATACAGCCTTGTATGTCAATTCACTATTACAAGAATTCAGTATTTTAAATTATAACCTACGTATTATATAAGCTGATCTCATATTCTAAAAATGTATATTAAATAATTAATTTTGTCTTTTGTACCATTTAATTTAGCGATGATTAATAATAATACTTGAAATAATGATATCTATAGACTATATGGGAAAATAGACATGATAATAATAATTGTCGTTAAGACTATAACGGTTTTTATTTTGTGTTACCTATAAATAGATAGTTTTAAAAATGTTAAGGGTTATAAAATTTATAATATAACGTTTATGCACTACATATTTACAACATAATACAGGTATTATAAGGGATAGAGTTATATTTTATGAGCAGATGATATAGTAATGATTATAGTAAGCATAGTTTCTTGTTTTTACACTACTATGAGTATTACTACGATCACTTAGATTTTAAACTTAATCTTTTATAATAAAATAAAAAAACTAAATTAAAATATTGCTTATAATAATAACAATTAATACATTACAATATCATACTTATTTTCTTACGTAATATAATACTACCAATGGAATTGTAGCTAACCTAACATTGGGCTAGAGGAGACTAGCTAAGAATAGGAGCACAGCAAAAAAAGGGGCGCAAAAACAAAATAAAACATGCCTTTGTTATTAATAATATTTATAGTATACATTTTATTTAGAATATTTGCAAAGTAATTTACTATATATTAATATAAATCAAAAATATGGGACAATCTTAAACTATTCAATAATACACAATACAAGTTAATATTTAGTATACAAATATTACAAAATGCTTAAAACATAAAATATATGACGTTTTTACATTACATTAAGTGATGGTAATTTTTTGAAAATTGATTTGTATTATTAATATTATTATTATTATTGAATAAAAGATACATGTTAAAGTAAAACATAAGATTCAAGATTCCAGAAGAAATTCTACAGATAGCTGTTTATTATTGTCACAATATAAAATGAAATAAATTTACTTATATTATTAATATAAGTTATAATCTAGGTTTTAATAAAATAATTATGAATAAAAATGAAAATATCTAGAGGGTATTATTTAATAAGTCGTTATCACCACCTATTGGTTTTTATTTTTATCGATCAACTTTGAATTCAAATAATATATAAACATTAGTTTGTTGACAGATTTAAAAAACAATAAATAAAAAGAGTTTGATTAACATTCAAAAGTATATATCTTACTTGAAAGTAAATAAAAAATTTGTGTGTAGGAGAGGGAGTTAAAATGTTATACCAATATTATACATCATTATTCGTTTAATAAATTAATTGAGAACTATATTACAATAATTTCGGGGAAGAATATTAGTCCTTAAAATCTACTATTAATTATAATGCAATAAATAATTATTTTATGTGTTATCAAATTTTTACATTGACATATTTTAGAACCTTTCCTATTTTCATCACATTATAGCTAGCAAGGAAGTGTCAAATCAAAAAAGTGGAATTGATCAACCCTTCTTGATTCAGCTGTCATTTCGATTACAACACACTTCGTAGCACGCATTTGTAGTTGTCTAAATATCCAGAAACTCTTTTATCATAATTTCACTGTCATGTAAAATTGAGCTGTTGTATTTGAAATAATTATTTCCGTATAATATTTCTGTAACAAGAAACAAAAATAATTAATAAAAAAAGTAATTGGATACAAGAGGACAAGAGAAAAATACAGAAAATTAATGATTTTTGACAAAGAGTATTTAAATATAAAGTATACATGATATACTCTAGTATATTAAACACTTAACGTATATTCTATAATATGTAGGGTGATTATTTTATTACTAAAAACAATTTAACGTTTTTTAAAATACTTATTTTACACAGTAAAAACTGGAAAATTGTTATAAAATACACGGTTTTTTAATAAAAAGTGATATTTAAAAAAAATGTTATTGTTTTATTGTTTTAAGTCTTTAGTTTTTTATTCACAACATTTGTTATTTTATATCTTGAATAAAGAAACAGAATATTTTTATAAAAATGTTGATTTATAAAAATAAAATTTTGAACAAGTTACTCATTGTCAATATTAAGAAATATCTAAATAAGTTATTTAAATAAAATTATAATTATCTAAACGTATCAATCTAGGTATTTTATTTTAATTAGCTACTAATAAAATTATAAATCAAAACAAAATTAAAAATTAAAAATATTATAAATATATACCTATTACATGAAAAACAATTAGTTTGAAAAGAATTTATTGTTATACCATGTATTTTAATATTGGCTGTTTTTTTTATCAAATTGAAGTTTTAGATTAAAAACAATAATACCAAATCAAATGAGCCAAAAATATAAATGTAATGTTATGTAGCAAGAGCAATAATTAATAATAAAAAATTGTCAAAACAACTAACCTTCTACTACTATCTGCCATTGGGTTACGATGGTTTTCATTTAATACATCTCTTATTCCCGCAACATATAATTGTGTATAAAGTATAATAAATAATAAGAAAAAAACATTTTTTTGAACTGATGAAAATAAATTCCATACTTACATAAATATTATATATTAATATTATATTGATTATATTGATATTATTTTATATTGATAAAAATGATGTATACATACGGTTATAATTTATTATATCATATTGAAATTTATTACTTATTATATAGTAATTAATATTATTTTTACCATTTCACTACAGGAAAAAAAAATAGTCACATATCTATGTTCTCAGTTATCGACTTACCGGTCTGCACTGGTATTCATTAGTATTCTAATCAATGGTGTAACAAAGAGGGATCAGAGGGTGCGGTGTGCGGAAGTGGGCACGTTCAGTTTCATTCTCTTGGGAGTCCCAATGTAGTACAAAGTTTTCCTTTTAATAATTTATAACAAATTATTAAACTGTTAATTTTTTTTTTAATAATTTAGAGTTATTATACAATTTGGAATTAGGAAGACATACAATATTTAAAAAAAAAATTTTAAATATTTATTATACCTAGGAAGATGAATGCACCTCTCCCTCCTCAGACCACCCTATAAATGCATGAAGTATTGAAAATGTTTTGTTTTTGGTCCCAGATTTTGAACGTTACTGACTAATAATAAATTGTTTTTTGTATTCTTGACTACTTTTTCATTGTGTCTTTTTGTTAATATTTATTTTTAAAAATGCTTTAAACGAAATTTTTTCACCTAATAGCTGTATTACTGAAAATGTAAAAAAATTAATATGAATTTATCTGATATTTATCTAGAAAGAAAATGTATTAATATTTATCTTTATTTAAACAAATTATTAGCTATCTATTCTCAACGCTGCTGGTAGTTAATTAATTATACACATTTAAAATCAAGATTAATAGATTGGTGTACTAGTAGTACACCATAAAATGTTGGACTAGGACGTCTAGGTATTAATGCATTCATCTAGACTTGTTATTTCCAAAATGTTATTTAATAATAACTTTATATTATTAATTTTTCTTTTTTTAAAACGATAAAACATTTTGAGATAGTAAATATTCTTTCATAATAAATTTATCATTTGATATACAAATTTCTTTGTTTAAGTTGCCTTTTGTTTCTCAGTAACCATAAATTATAAAGCAAAATAACAATATTATAATTTTTAAATATACTTGATTATAAATGTATGTTAAGATTGTATATAATCTAAAAAATGAAAATTACAAAATGTAAATAATTAAATAATATCAAATAACAATATGTTAAAAAAAAAATTATCATATTTTAAGTTTTTATTAGACTAAAATAAATGCTTCTCAATTTGCATCTTGATTAATCTAGAAATTGCCTTTCTATGCTTATATTATATTCACTGACTAAAAGAAAACCTTCGATACGACTTTTTACGATTTTTTTATAAATACATTAGATAATATTGGAATTGACAATCCCTTGCTTTCCTAACTGATGTGTTTTTCATATACCCTATTATTTTTCATGATTGGATAGAGTTCTAAGACATCTTAATCGTATATATTACATTAAGAAATGTCATATCATATTATTTTAATATTATAATGACCAATAACTCTGTCTTTTTTTAACTACAAACTAATTTATTAATTTTTGTAATTTGGATGTATTTGAAAAAAATTGACTATTAAATAGTTATACGTAAAAAAAATTATAACTGAATATTTAAAATATTTAAAATATTTTTAATCTCTATTAGATCGACTAAGCATCTTAACAAAGCATTCATTGTTATATCAACATTTATCAAAACATTTTTTTTTTTAAATTAGGAAATCACTTTGCTATATTATTTTAGGTCTTATTATATTTTGAGTATACTCATTGTTAAATAAGTTATAAGTTAATGAATAGTTGATGTGTTAAACATCAATTTAATGATAATTTATTGAATACCAAAAATAATTTTTCACACTGATAAAAAAAATAATAATTGTATTTTCGATATTTTTGTTCTACTATAAATTATAAGAAAAATTAATATAAAAAACTTAACATTTCAATATTTTAAAATCTCAAATATTTGTAAATAGTTAAATAATAATGATAATATATATTTTGAAAATTATATCAAGACTATAAAAAGCCACTAAATTGTTTGATAAATTGCGAGTCTGTGTAGAATTTTTTTTTTTTTTTTTTAATTACAATAAAAACAAAGTTTTGTTGATTTCTTGAAAACCGTTAGTTTTTCAGATTATTTAAATAAATATGAATTTTCTTCTTTTTTCCCCAATATACTAACAAAAGTTTCTTCGATTTTTTTTTTTTTTGCTACACAACGTGATGACAAATACAAAAAAAATTCACTCAAAATCTAAAATTATGTTTAATTTACTTTTTGTATATTTATTTGCTGAATATACATAATTCTTATTGGTTGTTGGTTAAATTTTTTATAGTCATATAATATATATATATACATATATATTTTTTTTGGTAGAGAATTTTAGTGATTTCTAATATATCAACGTAATTTACTTGTTAGTAGTGCAGGGTCAGAATTAGTGACATGGGGGTGGCTCGTGGACAGTATAGTTTATCCATTGCAATGACAGGCTTATGGAAATCATCGGGATATTTATATTGGCTAAAATATTATATGGATTTGAGTATAATACAACCTATAAATATAATTTATTTATTTATTGCATAATTGGTATAACTGGTGTAGATAAATAATTTAACTGACAATATGGAATAAATATTTGTAGCTATTTCAATTTTACATAAAAGATATATAATACTATTACAAATTTTGAACTTGAAACAATCAAGAGATTGTAAACAAGTAACAATGTCATTCGTTAAGATAATTGAGAAAAAGAGGTTGTTAGGTTTATAAAAAGGTGAAATTATATGACAAACCCTTCTAGAAAAAAAGGCATAATGAAGCATATTCATAAAATTTGAATTTGGTGAATTCGTTTCATCATTTGCATTAAAAAAAAAAACTGAAATAATGTAAATCATATGATAAAAATATTACATTAATTTGTACAACTATGTATTAATTACCATGTATTACCTATATTTGTACTTAACTTTTAATGACAAAAACAACACGGAGTAAAGTTGAGCTAATACCAGTTTAATACAAACAATAATCTCAATAAAGTCTAAAATAATCTAATTTTTTATTTAAAATAAAGTAAAAATTAATTTTATCTGGTAAGTAAATATTACACTACCTGTCTAACCAATAATACAAGTTCATCTCCAAAACTCAAATATTTCTAATTATACCTAAAAATAACAAATAACTTTAATAAAAAAAAATAACAATGAATCAATTAAAATAATAATCGATATCAATTGGTCAATACTATTTCTCGAAAACCAGATTTTTCCATCTTGAAAATTGTTTCAATTCCTATAGTTCATTAAATAGATACATTCTAAAAATGGTACATTTGGGTCGTATTGATTTTGTTTTTCTCGTAGTCTTGTGTTTATATGTGTATAGTGTAGGTATATAGTAAATAGATATATCGTATTATATACATTACCTATATTATGTATAAATGTGTAAGGCACGTAACACGATCCTGTATTATTATATTGAATAGGTATTAGTAATAATGTGATATAGTTAAATTATTTTGGGCACATATGGTCGAATGTTGGATTACAGCAATGTCCTGATGGATTACACTAAATATTTCACATGGTGTTATTTCCTCTTCCGTCTACGGGTTTATTGGCACACTGACCACACTACCTATATACCATCATTATTAAGCCCTTGTGAACCCTCCCTAGACATCCGTTTTCCCTCCCCAACACATACATATAAACAAACACACCGGATTCTCAGGTTTACCAATGCTAATTACTGTATTATCTGCAACAAGTTATAACAATTAATTACTGTAATTTAATATATATTAATATTATATTATATACCTCTCCGCATATTATTGTCTACGTCAGTTGTCCTATTGCTAAGTATAATAATTGGAGTCCGCCTCCTCCGGTAAGCACTGTTACTGATCCCGGAAACGTTTTTGGCATGTGACGGCGGGATTAATGAAATTGGACGGTCTTGTAAACATTAATAAACGCTCGCGGATAAATACTCATTATCTAACAGTTACTTACAAATTATACTATCAAACGCTACAAAAAGTTCCACTATAATGTTCTATGGTCAAAATTTACAAAAGCTACTTTGTTTCCTTTATATATACTATAAAATGAACACTTTGGCCTATTCACTCTATATTTAACCCAAAATATAAGACACGAAAGTTCCATAATTGTCCAATTAAAACTTATTTCACGTACATTTCTGTTATACTTAGTTACAATAATTTATTAAATTGTTGAGTAATAAGTAATATATTCTATATTTATCATTTTGAACTACAAATAGTATATTGAAAGGAACGAAGAACCGATCTTGGCTAAATGTGCTACAGTATGTGTTTTATGATTTTTTTTCATTTAAAACTTTTTGGAATCAATTTGATGTATAGTATTTTTTTTATATTGTAAAATTTTTTTAATAAATCAAAATTATTTATATAATTTGCATTATAACTATAATATTTTGATTATTATTATTATATTATATATAAAAATATTTCTCCAGCTAAGTAGTTTTCTAATTATATAATTTTATTAGTGTTATTATAAATACTATGATACTTCTATTAAATGTATTATTGTATTATTAGGTTGTAAATATTTTTAATAATAAAAAATAACATAATTCATAAAATGATTAGATACTGTCCTCTTTTTTCTTCGCTTGTCAACCCCCTTCTCCCGGATTGTTTAATTTTTCCGCAGTGTAAAAAAATGTTTGTAGATCTCCCTATTTTATTTTTAAAAGACAAATCATTACAATATATACATTTTCCGTCATATCACCGATATATAAATATTCAGGCTCGTTCATTTGTTCTTACTTTAATTTTGATTTTTTGGATTTCTTGTCATAATCGTTTTCACGTTTTCATTTATTTTTCTCTGATTTTTCCTTTATTTTAAATAATATTTTCATTGTTTGATTACATAAAAATAAATAAAAAGAACCACGAATACTTTTATTCACAATTAAAGAATGTTTTTGTATTTAAAAATATACATGTACATTTATCAATAAATTCTCAAGTTAAAAAATAATTGAGTTGGTGTACCTTAAAAAAATATAATTGTCTATTTTTAATACATTTAAAGTCAAGTTAAAATTTAATTTACATTCATTATCTCAATTTAAAAAGGGATAAATTATGTTGCTGCGTTGATAGCATATTTAAACCAATATTTATTAAAATAAGTAGAGAAAAAAATATTTAGTAGTATTATTGTAAAAATATTTGATAAAACTAATTTTTATTTTAGTTTACTTAAATCAAATGCTGAAAGTAACGAGGTTAGAGATGGGTAGTTTTTGGAAAAATAAGGAGACGAGAATAACTGGAAATTATAAATAATTAAAAATGTTTGTAGATGAATTACAATTTACGCATAATAATATTAAATAATGTTGCATTTAATTTAATTACTCAACTTTTTAACTAAATGAATGTTTAAAAATGCATTTATACTACACAAAAAAAATAAAAAATAGAAAATTAGAATTCAATAATATGTACATTATATTATTATGTATCTGTATTGACTAAATCGATGCTATATTGGCATGGTCGATGAATTCCATTTCAAAAGTATAATTTTTATTTATAAAACAAAAAAAAATGAAGACATTGAAC